CTGCACTCCCCCTCCTTCACAATGATGTGATTTTTTGTTCTTTACCTGATGCCTGATTCCATCAACACCTCATGATCACACAGGCTGGTGGCTGTGTGGGTTTCTGGGCTTTGTTGCTTCTTAGCTAGATAGCTGCTTATTTATCTTCCCCAGATAAACAAGACCCCAGATGCTGTATCTTTTGATAGCCAGGCACCATCAGCTTTCTTCACCACAATTACTTATGCCCCTGCTTTGTCTTCAGTGATCATGTCTGAAAGGTGAGCATCATGGAATGCCAGTTTAATAGAACAAAGTGTTCTTGCATTGAAGGAGTATTTGAGTGGAGGCCCAATGTCCTTCCCCTACCTTAATACTAAGCCTAGAAATATATGCATATAGATCTATTTCCTCATCATCATATAGATAGGAACTGGAAACACAGGGAATCCAGGACAGATGAACCCTTCAGGACCAGTGATGTGAGTGGCGATACTGGGAGGGTGGAGGGAAGGTGGGTTAGAAAGGGGAACCGATCACAAGGACCTGCATATAACCCCCTCCCTGGGGGACAGGCAACAGAAAAGTGCGTGAAGGGAGACGTCGGACAGTGTAAGACATGACAAAATAATAATAATTTATAAATTATCAAGGGTTCATGAGGAAAGGGGTGATGGGGAGGGAGGGGAAAAATGAGGACCTGATACCAAGGGCTCAAATAGAAAGCAAATGTTTTGAGAATGATGATGGCAACAAATGTACAAATGTGCTTCACACAATGGATGTATGTATGGATTGTGATAAGAGTTGTATGAACCCCAAATAAAATGGTTGGGACAAAAAGAGTTGTACGAGCCCCCAATAAAGTGGTTATTAAAAAAAACAAAGAAAACAAACAAGGTAAAAAATATATACAGAAGATTATATCACCCCATAGATTTCTTTAGTTCACCTACCTAGTTTCTACCTTTCCTTAAAGGTCAGGGCATATTAACTTAGGAGATTAGTTTTGCCTGGTTCTGAATATTACCAGAACCAAATGACACAATAAGAAAGGCTTTATTTCTTATTTGAGTCTGGCCTCTTCACCCTTAGGATGTGCAGCATGAATTGTCTGAATCTCTAGTTGCCTTTCTTCAGTTTGATTGCTGAGGGCCATATGGGTTATTTTTTTGTTTGTTACAAGTAGCCAAATAGTAGTGCTATGATCTTAGGCACACGTTTTGATATTTTGTGTGTGTGTTACTTGTATACACACAGCAGTGAATACACACACTCTCGCTGAGTAGATACTTAGGAATGCTTAGGATGTTGTGTCATAGTTAATGTATATTGTTGTAGTTGTTGGCTGTCAAGTTGGTTCTAACCTAGAGTAACTCTGTGGGCCATAAAGTAGAACCGTGGAGTAGAGCTGCCCTAAAGGGGTTCCTAGGCCATCCTCCTGGGATCACTTCTCTAGGCCTTTTCTCCTGCATGGACAGGGCTGGTGGCTTTCAACCACCAACCAGGTTAGCAGCTGAGCACCTAGCCCTTGTGCCTCCAGGGCTCCTTAGTGTAAGTTTGTTTAGCTTGATTGGATACTGCCAAGTAGTTTTCCAAAATGGCTATACCAAATGGGTGTACCCACCAGCCTTAGTAAGGCTTTCATTTGTTCTGTATCCTCATCTACATGAACACTTTCTTAAAAGACATATACATACAGAAGAGTATTGAACATACATGTGTAAACCATTGCCTGCAGGCACCAGAAACGTCTTATGTGACAGTTTCTGCTCACCACCTCCCCAGAAGGGAACTCATCATCCTGACCTCTGATTGGCCACAGATTATTTTTGCCTGATTATCATTATTACTATATAAATTGATAGATCTTGTATTTGTTTATTCTGGCTTCTTTTGCTGGTATTATGTTTCTGAAATTCCACTGTACGTGTTTGTTCTCATTGTTTCCTGGTGTTCAGTTGGAGGAGTTTACCCTTTCTACTGATGATGGGCGTTTGGGTGTTTTCCAGTTTGGGGCTATCATGGATCGTGCTATATGAACATTCTTAATATGCCTTTGGCTAAAAATATGTACCTATTTCTGTTAATTATATAACAAGGTGGGCTGAGTCATAGGGTATGTGCATATTCAACTTGAGTATTTAACATCAAATAGTTTTCCACTGTGGCTCTACCACTTTACACGTCTGCTAGCAGGGTATGCAAATTCTAGTGCTTTTACACTTCAGCAACACTTGGTATTGTTTGGCTTACTTATTTTAGCTATTTAGGCTTGTAGATGTTTTGTGATAATCACATTGTGGTTTCAACTTGCAGTTCCCTGAGAACCAAATAAATTCAGCTTATTTTCATCTTTACTGGGCATCATCGTGAAAACTAGAAGAGAAATGTTTTACTTTTTATTCTGGAGGACAAGTTTATGAGAGTTTTAAATGTCACAGGTGCGAAGTGAGAATATTTTTATGAATTCTGAACATACTGTGAATATCCTGTAGTGTGCCCCAAGATTTATAAAAAGCCCACTTAGGGAAAATGTTAAATTAACTTCTTATTTCTTTGCCTCAATACCCCAACTTACATATCATGTCACATCGTATCACCATGTCATATCATATAACAATATAAGTGTTTCTTTTAAAAACATTCATTCTTCCTAAAACTTCACCTGAGAATACATAGTAAATAATTAACTCTTTAGTTCTAGACATGCTTTATGTTCATCTTTTTATTTATTTTAGCAAATCCTTAGGTGCTTTAAGAATCACCATGTCTGTTATTTTCTTATTTTTCTTTCCTTTTTAGGTCTGTAATATTTTGATAGCGTTTTAATCAGTTAACATTTATTGGTTGATTTTTATGTGCTTAGCACTTTGCCCAGAATTATTACAGGTATAATGGAAATATAAGACATTTTCTTGGCCCACATGGAAGATAAAATTTAATTGAAGAGAAATAAACTGATCATTAGACCAGAATAAAGTGCTAATGGTGAGGTGAGACTTGGACTATAAAGGATGTGAAAAATTTGATTTTGGAAAGGGGAAAGGGGAAGAGCTTTATAAGCCAGAACTCAGATGTGAATGCAAGATCAGTGAAGAGTGGCGAGTGTAACTCCTGTGTTGCTGAGGCTATATACATTTGGGATAAGGGGAAATTAAGTAGAACATGGGAGAGGACCATCAACAGTTCGTCCAGGGAGTTTGGAGTTGAAGTTGCTAGTAAGAGGTCTATAGCAACTGCAAGTAAGCAGTGTTTTAGGAAGCTAAGTGGACCGGAGTAAAGAGATGGTGGGAGTTCAACTAAAACAGTGGTTCTCAACCTTCTTACTGCCACAACCCTTTCATACAGTTCCTCATGTGGTGGTGACCCCCAACCATAATCTTATTTTCGTTGCTATTTCATAACTAATTTTGTTACTGTTATGAATCACAATGTAAATATCTGATATGCAGGATGGATTTTCATTGTTACAAATTGAACATAATTAAACATAATTAAAGCATAGTGATTAATCACAAAACAACATGTGACTATATATTGTGATATATTTATGTGTTTTCCAATGGTCTTAGGCCATCCCAGTGAAAGGGATGTTTGACCTGCAAGGGAGTCACAACCCACAGGTTGAGAACCACTGAACTAAAAGATTTTTGCAGAAATTTTGCAAATCCAAATAAGAATAAGGCCTTCTTCTACTTTCAAAAAAATACCTTTGGCTCAGTATAATTCCATGTCTAAGTCTTTTCTTAAGAAATATTTCAAGATCATGGTGTCTGAAGGGACAGCATTTGGAGTAGTACCTTCTTTTTTGTCCACAAGCCCTTCCTGTTCTCCCCTTGCCTTTAGATTCCCACGTGAGTCCAGGGCTGGGGAATTGTCTGACCATCAGGAACAGGGGAACCCAGTGATCAGGTTCCCCTGAGTTGAAAGATCTGGGGAACCCTTAGTGTAGACACGGGGTCCTAATTAGGGGTTCTCAGTGCTAGGGGCCCATAGATGAACTTCTGGAATCCATTTTTCTGAAACCATGTATAAAATTTGGGGGACATGTGCATTTTTTGAGTTTTAGAATCTGAAAAAGTCTGTGCCATCGCCCTTATCCAGATTAATAGCCATTGCTTAAAAAAGCAAATGGCAGCCAATTAGTGAGATTGTAACCAGCGTTTTATTTCTCTTAACTTGAAGTCTTATCTCTTCAGGGACTGTAGGAACCAAATAGAAGGCTGGTGCTTTTATTAGGTTGAACCCTCTGAAGTTGCCAATATTTAATTTGTAGTCTTTAACATACAAAAACAGCAATGGAAAAAAAAAATCCCTTGGTGCAACTTTCCTGGCTTGCTTCTCACCAGTGTAGTTTTCCATTGTCTTGAACCTTCTTCTTAATAAGCCCCTGTGCTTGATCTGAGTCCTCCCAAAACCTTGTCATGATTTCCCCTTTGGAACCCCCCAGCCCGAACCAGTTACTATCACCTTCTGAGCTGACCTTCTTGCCTTGCAAAAAGTCACCCTAATACGGCATTGATCACAGAGACCTGTTTAAACCTGGTTTGGGATTAGACCCATGCATAAATGATCTGAAACCTAGTAATAAGACTTTTTGACTTACTCATATCTTTGTGTGTGTGTGTGTTTGTGTGTGTGTGTGTGTACGCGCGTGCACACACACACATTATATAATAAACCCACTGCCATAGAGTCGATCCCAACTCATAGCAATTTAGGATTTCAGAGACTAAATCTTTATGAAGGCAGATAACCTCATGTTTCTCTTGAGGAGTCACTGGTGGGTTTGAACAGCAGGCCTTGGGTTAATCAGTTCAATCATGTCTAACCCACAGTGCCACCAGGGTATGTATGTAAATATATATATATATATATATTTATTAAATATATATATTTAATAAATCCATTAGCTTTTAATTCCATTTTTCATACACTAAAGCCCTTTCATGTGTATTTATAAAATGGAAATGAATAAACATTTTAAACCTGTGCTTTTTTCCCTCTCTCCTTTGTAGGCCACTTTCTGATTCTAAGCAGTACAACATTTTAAGAAAAGCAAGATCTTACATGAAACGGGAAAAGTATGAGAAAGTGGTATGTATACAGGCATTCTATGTGTAAATTGCTGGCCGTCCTTTTGTGGTGGGGTGAGGTATGGGGACGAGAGCAGAGTGGGCAGCCCAGGGAACTGTCCTGATCCCTAGACAGAGTTGGCTGCCCTGAGTGGCTACATTAGCCTTGGACATACTCCTCTTATTATAGATAATATTGGGGTAAGTTTTTTTAGGTAAGCATTAAGAATGAGCTACTACTATGCCATTTTTTTTATATAAAGTAGATTTCAACATTGCATCACCCTACTTAATATATATGATTGTTTAAAACATGAGAGATTGGTACATTTGAAAATACTTATATGCCTTAAGAAATCTGACTTCATACAGGAACATTACCACTTTCCAATTCTTACCCTAGTATGTTTTTCCTTCACTGTTTTCTTTTTGGTTCAACCGTCTCACGATTTTAAGGCCAGAATTCTAATTTCTGTTTCCAAAATGCCTAAGCACTACTCTCTATTTCTACTGCTTATTATTATTATATATATTTTTTGCAGTTTTAAAATGGTAAGCCACTCCCCACTTCTGGAACATTAAGTGACATTCTGTGAGTGATTTGGGTATTCGATAGGAGAAAGTCAGCAACGCTGTAAGAGTTGGCCTCCCAGTTAGTTGGCATCTGTAACGGAGAGCTGTTCGCCCTCTCTGTGTGTCACCTGAAGATTATTCCCCCAAAGTGAATAACTTTAACGACTCACAGACAAAGATTGGTTGCCTTTCAAACGGCCTCCCTTATCAAGATTAAAAAATTAGCTCATTTTACTTGGGGATTTTTCTTGTACTTTCCAAGAAGATCCTTGAATAATTAAAATCTATTATTGATCTATTATCTATAATTTTTTACTCTTAGTTTTAATACAGTAGAAACCTTGTAATGTTATTTTTTTAATGGCTTTTCTTATTCTTTCCTTGTGGCAAGTTACATTGTCCTTTTTCCATAGGTCTCCCTCTGCCAGGAACTGATTCATCTCTCCTTGAAAGGACTATCCTATTATCACACGTACGACAGAGTCTTTCTGGGCATCAATGTTGTTATTGGTTTTGCGGGGTGGACATCTTATGCTTCTTTGTTGATCATCAAGTCTCATTCCAACCTTACAAGAAGCACTAGAAAAGAAGCCCAGGTAGGTCCAGAGACTATAACGGAGATTCAGGGGATGATATAAAATCACAAGAACTCAGAAAAGAGATTTAATCAGATCAGCTGTAATGCGTTTCCCCAGCATGCAAGGCATTATATTAAGCTCATTCTTATTCACCTCTCTCTCTCCTTTGCTTTTGTTGTATTGTGTCATTTCTTTTTCTCAGTTATCTCAATATCCTCAGTTGAGAAAAAGAGGCATTTGTAAACATGACTCCAATTTAAAAGGGCTGTAACAATCGCTGTATAAATAATGGAAATGGTTCTCGGGTATTACCAGTGTTCATTTTCTGTTCTTCCTTTTAACTGTTGAGCAGGTTGTAAATATTCCATAGGTTTCTGTTACAAGTAGTCAGAAGAGGATTTCAGAGGAATAAATATTATCTGCTCATAACAGTTTAGGAGCTAGAAAATGCTCCAGTCAGGCCTGAATCAGATCTGCCTGGGCCTACACTTTTAGTCACAACCCTCCTTTTGCAGCTGGCCCCAAATTTATCCTCATTCTTAACTTGCCTTCTGGTGATACTTTAATGCCAAAAAAGGGTGGGGGGGAATACCTCTTAGTCCTCATCTTGCTTAGCTTTGGGCGGCAGAGCAAAGGGAACGAAGAGAAAAACGAGGAAGGGAATAAGAGGCCGCCTTTCCTGGTCTGTCCTGGTTTTCCCATGCTTTCCTCTCCCTGTGCCAACCTCCTCTACCTCCTCTACAGAGCCTGCTTTGTGCCCCTTCTCAGACCCCGGAACTCCTGGTCTGAACATGACAGCTTCCCCAGAGTGGTGTCCTGCCCCAGCCCTTGCCTTTGTCCTCCTGACCCAGAGCCCGTGGGCTGGGCAGACCCATGGAGGCCTCCTCTGACTCACACCCAGGAAGCTGAGCAGGTGGTTGGTGAATGGGCCTGCTGTGGTTGAGCAATGGAGTGTGGATAGCAGGTCAAGTTGGACTTTGAATAACTAGAAACCTTATCCCAAATGAACATTATGTCCCACAGTTCATTGTGGCCTACGTGTTGGGTATTGCAAGCTGGCCAAGGAACTCCTCAGTTGTCATAAAACTCTTTCTTTTTTTTTTTTTAAATCAATTTATTGGGGCTCATAAAATTCATCACAATACATAGATCAATTGTGTAAAGCACATCTATACATTTG